TGGCCAGGCGAGCAGGTGAAGTCTCCTCCTGCGACCAAGACAAATTTGGATGTACAAAGAGAATTTTCTTCAAATAAACTGACCTTTCAGAGCCATTAAGGCTTAAGCACAGAGCTGAGAAACCCTCAGGTACACTCAGGCAGAGAGAGCCAAGTCTCTCCCTTCCTACTCTTGATTTCGCACCTCATGGGACCATCATTAGTCTCCTTAGTAAAGGGAAGGACTGTTCAAAGGGAAATGCAGGTGTAAAACAGAGCCTTCAAGCCTTTCCCTTCCATTAGCATCTCCCCAGTGGATTAGAGCATACTCAAGGACCTGTATTTGGGTATTTAATCACAGCACACTTGCCAGGAGCTTCCACCTTGTGCCAAGGGCACCAGCATTACGCATCGTCTTCCGTAGAGAAAAGCAGAAAATAGAATCTAGGTGTTGACAGGAAGCAAAAAAGAATCAAGTCCTGAAGTGACACGAACTCGGAGCAGCCTGTGTGTCTCTCCAGCTGAAATGCACATTTAAATAAACCCTGTGGGAACAGCCACAACCAAAAACCTTAAGTTTTAAACTGCTGAATCCGTATCAAGTCACATTAACAAAAATCAACAGGGTGCTCAAACACACTGACCACAAATCCCAACCCCACCAAAACATTCACATGCACCACCAAGCCCCACTGCTGTCCCCAGCCTGCATGGATGCAGGATGGCCATCTTACCCCAAAATGGAGCTAAATTCAAGCTGGGACATCTTCCTGCAGCACAATGAGGAAGCAGCAGTTAAATACATTTCAGCCATAGTGAACGCAAAGAAACCTGCTGCAGCACCTTTAGTCTCCATCGTAGCGTAAACAAATCCTCAGGACTCTCCAAGCAATCCACTTCGCCCCGTGCAACAACCCCACTGATATCACAGTTGTTTGAGAAGATCCTCTGCCCTTGAACAGTGTGGCCAGGGATGAGGTTGGTGTCTTCCTGAAGGAAGCACTCACTTGCTGCAGGTTTGCCTGTATCGACTGCACCAGCACAGCTCCAGTAACAGCACAAAGAGATGAAGTTTTTTCTCCTCGTAGCCCACGATACCATACAAACATCCATTAAGTAGGTCCAGGTCAGCACCGGGCAGCTCCATGGAGAAGCTACAGACCTCGTGTGGAACTTCACGGCTCTGAGCTTCTTGGCTCAGGCTGGCCCAAATTTGACCAGCCAAGAGGCGAGGAAAGCTGGTTTAGCTGGACACTGAAATTCGCAAGAACCCGAGCGCTGGCTGATGAGTGGGACGTGGAGACCAACCAGGTAAAACCAAGCTGGAGACTTTTTGCTAATAGGAAAACTCCAGTAAACACCATCAGCACACATTCAAGTCACCTGTCTTTCAGCTCCTGACTCAGTATCCCACCTCCTGCAGCCAGCATGAAGCTCCAACTCAGTAACAATGATGCCCCATCACTGGCAGTGTTCAAGGTCAGGTTCAACAGGGCTTGGAGCAAGCCAGTAGGAGATGTCCCTGTCCAGGGGATGGACTGGATGACCTTTAAAGGTCCTGTCAAACCCAAACCACTCTATGAATGATTCCTATGAAAGATAAGGATAAGCCTCAAGATTTACTGAGCTCTGCCTGCGTCGTGGGGCTCCGACCAACGCTCTCCAAGCCCCTACATCTTGCAGCAGCTACGAGCTATAGAAAGTAACTCTTCCAAAAACCAAATCGTGCACATCCCTTTTCCTCACACCCCCACAGCAGGTACGGGACCAGGGAATGGCACCACCAGCAGCAAACGTCTTGCAGCCATCATGGGTTTGTTTTCAATTGTGCTCCCCACTGCACTTTGGAAATACCCAGCTGTTTCCTGGGACGTGTTGTGTGGCGCATGCCTCATATCGCAACATCAGAGAGCGAGGAAGGAGACAATGAACCTTGAGGCACCCCCACCTCTGAAGAAAACCATCACTACTGCAAGTAATGCTTCTCTCAAGCTAAAAGCACACGCACTGGGAAAAGCACATCCTAAATAAGACACACATTAACGAAGTGGCCAATGTGACTCAAGACATAGCGAAACGCTGCGCTTCCAGGTGGACACTGGGACACAAGGCTCCTACAACCATGTGAGCACCTCCTGATGGCTTCCAGAGCACCAGCCCCCAACCCCCCCCCAAAAAAAAAAAAAAAAACCAACAAGAAATTAGTATTTATTTTATAAAGTCACTAGAGAAACCACTCTGGCTTCTTGCAAGAGCCCAGGGTTGCAACACTGAAGACTTTCAGCAGCGGCGCAATATACCCCACACATTAACTGCTCAGTTTGGCCTGATGCCAGGTTTGACACTGAATGCCACAGACCACCGGTCACCATCACTTAAGTCCTCCACCTCTCACTAATTTCATGAGGCTCAGCAGCAGGTATCATTTTCAGCTGGAACAGCTGCTCCAGGTGGGCACAGCCAGAACCCACAGCATTTGCTCACAAAGGTTTGCTCTCTCGTCCTTGCTCAAAACACACTACTTTTAGCTCTGCTTCCAGTCCAGCCCCTGCACAGAGGTGTGCAACATGCCAGGCGTCTGCCTCCTTCCATGCCGGAGCCGGCCACGCGCCGGGGATGCCATTCGCACAAAGTTTACGAATCACCCTAATCCTTCACAGGGAGGTCTACAAACGTAAAAACAGCATTCAGAAACAACAAGGAAAGAGAGGGGTGGGGAAAGAAACCACACCACTGCCAGCGGGTGCTGAATGGCTTGTTCAGAAGGAGCGATAAAACTAGTGGCCGTGGCGTGATGCCGGGGGGAGGTGAGGGAAAATCCCCAGCACAGAGGAGAACCGGAGTTCACCGGCCATTAGGCTGCTCTCCCCCCTTGTGACCGGCTCCTTCCTCCTGTCAGAAAATGGGGTCAGAGCAGGGGCCGGGCGGGAGCTGTCGGAGGATTCAAAGGGCAAAATAAACACAGGACTCAGTAACTCCTCTGCACGCCGGGAAGAAAATCAATAACAATAGTAATAACAGTAATAACAATAAAGGTGCTGAAAAATCCCCACCCCTCCCTCAGAGACCGGGACACGTCCGCACTCACCACCCGGCCCCCCTCCGCGGGCCGGGAGGCAACGCGCACCCCGACGAGCCGAGGGCCCGGACCTCGCCGCTCCCCCGGGCAGGGGAGCGAGAGCAGGGCAAGAGCGCACCCCCAAACCCCCGGCCACCAGCAGCGCCCGCTGCTCCGTTCCTTCCCCCCACCCCACCAACCAGCCCGGCCTCCGCCCGCCGGCGCCCGGCCGCGGCGCTCACGCAAGGCCGGGGATGCACGGCCTACCCCGGCGGCCCGCCCGCCCGCCGCACACTGCAGAGGGAGGGAAAGGGCAGCGGCGGCGGTGCCGCTGCCCTCCCCGGCCCCGGTGGCTTCCCGCGGGCCGGGCGGCCTGGCTCGGCGCGGCTCGACGCTGTTCGTCCCGGCCCGACGCTGCTCGTCCCAGCCCGACGCTGCTCGTCCCGGCCCGTCCGGGCCCGCAGGCCTCAGGCCGCGGCGGCGCGAGGAGGGGTTGTGGCGGCCGCCGGCACGGCCCGCGCTTACTCCGGGGTAGGGTGCTCCGGGTCGTAGAAGTCCCCCATGGTCGGGCGACCGCTGTCGGGGGCAGGCGCGGCCCCTCGGGCGGGCCGGGCCGGGCCGCGCCGCGGGGAGGCCCCTCTCCGCCCTCCGAGCCCGGCGGGGGCTCGGCTCCGCCGCCGTCGCCTCACATCCTCCGCCGGGCCCCGCGCTGCAGCGGCCGCCGGCGGGGCCCCGCCATCCGCGCCGTGCCCTGCCCTGCCCTGCCCGCCGCCCGCCGCCGAGTCCGCCCCGGCCGCCCGGCTCCTCCCCGCCGCGCCGCCGCGTCGCCGCTCCCTGCCCGCCGCTCCGCTCCCCCCGTCGCGGGCACGGGCCGGGACCAGCCGCGGGATCTCCGGGATCTTCCCCCGGGATCACCAGGGCCACACCACACACCGGGATAAGCGCGGGATCGCCGAGATCTCCCAGTATCACCAGGACCGCACCGGGATCAGCCGTGGCACCACCGAGATCTCTTCGGGATCTCCCCCAGGATCCACCAGGACTGCACTGGGATCAGCTGCAGGATCATTGAGATCTCCCCAGGATCACCGTGACTGCACTGGGATCAGACATGGGATCAATGAGATCAACCCAGGATTACCAGGACTACACCAGTGCCAGCCGTGGCACCACTGGGATCTCCTTGGGATCGTACCAGGATTACCTCTGGGACCACCATGACTACACTGGGATTAGCCACATCATCACCAAGATCTCCCTGGGGCCACTGGGACCACACTGGCATCAGCCATGGGTTCACTGAAATCTCCCTGGGATCACCAGGACTATGCTGGGATCAGCCACACAATCAATGAGACCTCCCCAGGATCACTAGGACCACACCAGAATCTCACTGGGATCACCAGGGTAGGATCACCAGCATCCTGGATTATCCATGGCACATGAGGATCAGCCCCATGACACAGGCACCACAGGAATCTGGGATCACCAGCACCGGTGGAATGTCCCATACCAGCAACCTAGGATCACCAGTACCCCTTGATCACCCACACCCCCAGACAATGGCACCACACCTCTGGGATTCCTGGTACCCATGGATCACTGGCACCCCAGGACAACCCCAGGATCTCTCCCAGCATCACAGGTACCCCAGGGATCACACCTAGAACTGACCCAGTAACACACCAAGACACCAGCACTTTATTTCACCAACTTCCCATACCCAAGGGAGATTTCAACGAGACAGTGCCAGAGTACCCCAGGATACCTGCTTGCTTTTGGGCTGTGAGGACCTTCCCGCTCACACAGGAGCCTCCAAACTACATTTGCAGCAGCCAATATTGACATTTCTTCCTCTTCTTTTTTCCCAGATTTGGGACTATGGCGTGGGCAGCAGTGGCACAGGGACCCACAGGGACAGGAGCAGCATCCACGCGGAGGCAGAGGGAAGCAGAGGAAGGGTAGATGGAGCTCAGTTTGTGTGGAAGAGTTTTCTTGGGAAGTTAAGGCTGGGTTGAATTTCCAGAAGCTTGATAAGCCTTTGGAAATTGGTAATTACACGAGAAGGGGATTTCTAGGCTGTTACCCACAGCACTCCTGGGGAGCAGGTGCCGTTGCTGTAACAGGAGTGAGCTGCAACAAATTAAATCAAACAGCTTGGACTAATTAATTTCCCAGAGTTCCGTGTAAATGGGGAGGCAGCGTGTGGAAAACCTTTGACCTGGGATGTGTGAATCCAGGGATGCTCCTGCTGTGGCTGGTGCCAGTTCTAGCAGCAGGGGCTCTTTGTCCTCTGTCCCATCACTCAGTGGGGCTCAGCCAGCATTGCCCAATCGCTCCAAGCCACATGCCAGTGGCTTTTCCAATAATCCTGGTGATTTGCCAGGCTTTGGCCAGGACATTGCTAACAGCCACAGATCACAGGTGCTGCATTTGGGGGTCTTCAGTGTTATTCTTCAAGCTCCCCAAATAATTCTGAAGCTCTCGGGGTTCCGCAACCTCCCAGAGGGATAAAGAAGCAAATCCTGCCTGCAGCAGTTCCGAATGCAGACTGGACCCTGCACCCATCAGCTGCAGTGGCGAAGGGCCACCCAAAACACACGGTAGACACAAAAATCACAGCTGACTCTTTTTATTCCTTGAAGAGACAAGAAGTGGAATACCCAAGAAGAAGCCAGACCCTGGAGCTCCTTTAGGCCAAGCCTGCAGCTGGCACAGCATGCATATATATGTATATATGGGCCCACATCCATATATTGCTCCTCAGAGCCTGTGGTATGGGCATAGAGGGGAGCAACAGGGGAGCTGACACTGATGGCTGCCTGTTGGCAGCAGTAGGAGAAGGTGGGATTCTTTTGGCTGGATATTTGGTACACAAACTCCCCTGGCATGTGCCGAGCTGGAAGCAGCTTCCCACCTCTTCTGAGGAAGAGGAGGACTTCCAGCAGGCCTTCAGCACACTCTGCTTCATGGGCAAAGATAACAGTAGCCTGGCTAAGCAGCACAATATGCCCTGGAGCTTTTCAGTTGCTGGGCACCATGGTCTCACTCTGAGTCCGAATCACCTTCCCGGAAAGTGGTGGGCAAAAAATGCCCTAGTCCTGCTGCATTGGGGTGGGGAGGGTGTCATAAACAAGCGTTGCTATTTGAACCCTTGGCTTGCTGCCTGTCTAAACAGTGGGTTTGATTACCAATAACTGTCAGTCTAGCTGTACAAAAGTTAGGTGGTGGGGTTTTTTTCCTACTGTTTATTGTTGATAAATCTATTTGGATATGAACATGAGGCATCTTTTGAGCTGGTGTTGCTTATGGGTTCCAGGCTGAGCCCAAATCTGCTATGTGACATGCAGAAACGACATGGTTTTATTCTTCCCAGCAGCTGGGATGAGCCCCGGTTTCTTGCGCATTTGCTCTAGGGATGACATGGTTTTGCTGTACACGTGCTGGCAACAGGAAAGAAAAAAGAATTAGTAATGCGAACTCAGTTTTCAGGGCAGAATCCCCACCTGTAAAAGACTTATTCCGGAAAAAAAAAAACAAAAAACAACAAAACAAACAAACCCCAAATCACTTTCCCAGTCTTCCCAAATAGTGATGGAAAAAGCTGCCCAAAGAAGCCCCATCACACCACCATCATCCTACTGGGGCAGATCCCAGCAGGCTCAAAGGAGGGCACAAGAAACCCTGAGAAATGCTCCTCATGAGCACTGAAGAGTTGTTTTCGAGATGTGTTCCTTAAAAACCCTTACTGATGGTGATGTGCAGCCCTGTTACTGTCCTGATCTTTTTGAAGCTCAGGGCCTCGGTGGTATCTCACAGTGAGCCCTGAAAGAACTCCAAGTGAGAGGTGCTGAGACTGGATTTTAGCATAAGAGCAGCATGGGATGGGGCCTTTACATCAGCCAAAAAACATTTCAAGGAGCTTAGTTACAGAACCAGACTAGCATCTTTCAACAGGCTACAGCCAAAATGACATCCGTTCTGGAGGAGTCCTACACCCCACCTGGCAGTGAGGCACAGAATCTCTCTCCCAACACACATTGGCAGGGGTACATGGAACTGCCCCCCCCCCCCGAGATTACCTTTTGATCAGTTCTCATTTTCGCCTTGTAGAAGGGGACTGAAGCTGGGCAGGCCGGCAGCATTGTCTCCTGCATCTGCTTAAACCTCTCCTGACCATCTTCCTCCTGCCACCAGACAGACAGACCCCACTCCATGTGAAAAACACACATCTGGAGGCATAGGGGTCAACCAATCCCAAGTGCCTCGTTGAATGCCAATACACCAGTATCTCTGAAGCCTCGGAAGTAAGAGGTCCCCTCTTCCTACAACTTTGGTGAGCAGATTTGGGCAGGACTTTGGCCAAAATCCATCTGGAAGTGTAAAGCCCCAAATGGAGTTCCTCCAGCTGTCTTCACACAGCCATGCTCTGCCTGTGACTACCCACAGGACAGTCTCCCTTCCACTGCACAATAATCTTGCAGTGTGAAGGAAGTCTGAGCTTCAGTGTGGTCCTCACTGATCCCAGCTAGCTGATGTCCATGCCCACATTTCTCCAGGGAACCTTCTGGAAGGTGTAAGCACACAGAATAGGAACACGGGTTGAATTAAGTACATTTATTTTGAGTTACCAGCATGTATATAATGTTTTCATTACATATTTGAGGATAGTTCTAGCAGATGCTTAGGCCACTTTCTGTGGTGATTCATGAGTAGCCTCAAGAAGGCGACAGTGGAATTCTGTCATGATAAAAGGCAGGTGGCCAAATAGAATCTAGTTGAGAGTAAAAGATGCACACCCTGGAGAAACGGGCTAGGACAGCAAATGAAGAACCAGCCTGGGAAAGGGAAAATGGTTCTAAGTAGGAAATAAACCTCCAGAGAAAAATTGAGTGGTTGCCTCCCAGTGCCTCAGTGGAGCCAGTGATGCTGGGAAGCTGCAGTGAACTGCCCAGTAAAAGGAGCAAGAGAAACCAGCACTGAGCCACATTAGCAGGGACACTGTTTATCCTTCCCCTGAAGATTTCTGCCTGTAACATCAGCAACTTGACACAGCTGCAGAACATTGCTAAAACGCATGCTTCATTCATCTTTGGGGTTATAATTGATGTGATGACACGAAATCCAGGGTGGGAAGCCATTAAGGGAGTATTTCTGAGTACATTGAGTAACTTGGGTTAATAGAAGTGACTAGTGATGGATCCTCTTTTCCCCAGAGAGGGACATCCTGGACCCAAGCAGTCAGCTGGGGTTTCCCTGTTGACCTCACTGGAGGGTTGGGGTTTGGTTTTATGCTCTTTCCTATACAGGTCTGCATCTGTATCTGAAAACTTCCACGGTCAATAGATCACAACATTCTGTTTAAAAGTAAACTCAAAATAACTCCACTATTTTTTTTTCATCACGTTATGTTTGTTACTTATACCCTCAAGGGAAACTAATTCAGTAGGATGGGAAGAACCTATCTCTGATCTTTGAAATGCACCACATACCTTTCTAGAAGGGAAGAAGAAAACTGAGATTTACAGTCAAAATAATCAGACACCTGGAGACAAGAGTTCATTTTCTGTTTTCCTTCTAAAAAATTAAAAGCCATTGGCTAGAAATGGGGCTGTGCATTTAGTAAAGATGTCACACAGCTCACATCCTGATTATTCTCTTTCCCAAACACCTGTAGGTACCCCCTGCACCTGATGAGGATGGGCTTCTGGGAGAGACAGACATGACCTGTCCCCTGTAGCTGTTCTCTGCAATTTGCAGAAGTTAAGCAGCAATAATGGAGATGGGTTACACCTACAAAGGGCTGATTCTCCCTCACAGCCAGGGTGGGATTTCACTCTTTTGTTATACACTCACAGAATCCCAGAATGGTTTGGGTTGGAAGGGACCTTAAAGCTCATCCAGTTCCACCCCCCTGCCACAGGCAGGGACACCTTCCACTAGACCAGGTTGCTCCAAGCCCCATCCAACCTGGCCTTGAACACTGCCAGGGATGGGGCAGCCACAGCTTCTCTGGGCAACCTGTGTCAGGGCCTCACCACCCTCACAGGGAAGAACTTCTTCCTCAGATCCCATCTCAATCTCCCCTCTGTCAGTTTAAAGCCATTCCCCCTTGTCCTGTCCCTACCTGCCCTTGTCAAAAGCCCCTCTCCAGCTTTCTTGTTGGCCCCTTTAGGCACTGGAAGCTGCTCCAAGGTCCCCCCAGAGCCTTCTCTTCTCCAGGCTGAACAAGCCCATCTCTCTCAGTCTGTCTCCAGAGCAGAGGTGCTCCAGCCCTCAAAGCACCTTTGTGGCCTCCTCTGGACTCACTCCAACAGGTCATGTTAGACCGAGTGGAGGCGCTGCCACCACATTCCTGTCAAACAGCATGAAGGGTTTGAGCCTGACATTTAACGATGAAGGACAAAACCTGGAATTACTTCGGAGGAGGATAATGCAAAGAAGTGTGGTAAATGAGAAGCTTAAGAGAAATGTGCTTTGTCGGAACTGACAAAAGACCCTGAGCACCCCAAAGTTGTGGTTTCTAAACAGAAGGCTGCCTATGTACCAGTTGCCACAACACAAAACACAATAGTTTAGCTGTACCAACTGGAAACAAGCCTCCCAACTACCCCTTGCACCTCTGGGCAGCGTGCCTGATTCCTGATAGTCAGCAGATGACTGGGTACTTCAGTCACTCTCTCCTATTTTAGCCTCTTCATGGTAAAGCTAATGTGAAAGCAAGATGTATCTCCAGATAGTTGCTCTCTGCATCATAGCAGATAGCATTTCAGTACCAGCCACTCTGCTTGAGAAAGAGGCAGAGACGCCATGTCCTCCTCCTCCTCCCACAGGCTTAGTCGTGCCCTCATTACCATGCCACGTGCAGCTATCAAAGAGAATAAGCAGAGCTGCCAGGAAAGCTCACCAGGCACATGACTCTGTTTATGGGAATCATTCCAGGTCTGATGTTGCCACCAGGCTTCAGAGCTTCCTGCACATCCTTGGGGATAAGGAAAGACTCGTTGTACCAGATCTCAAACTCTGCAAAGCAAAGCAAGGGGCTTTAATGATGGAAAAGACAGGGGTAGATTGCTTCTGTCCATGAATCAGATAGGACTCAGTGCTCGTAAACATTCAGATGGGACCTCAGAACCCCAACATCCTATAGAATCATAGAATAGTTAGGGTTGGAAAGGACCTTAAGATCATCTAGTTCCAACCCCCCTGCTGTGGGCAGGGACACCTCCCACTAAACCATCTCACCCAAGGCTCTGTCCAACCTGGCCTTGAACACCGCCAGGGATGGAGCATTCTTGAGTTTTAACTATTTGGAAAGTTAGTCTAAAAGGACAGGGCACTGTTAGCTGGCATCGGCTGTGCTTAGACAACTGCTGTCTGTCCCTGCTGCCTGTGATGTGGCCGGATCGTGGTAACCGGCCCTGGGGACAGTCCTCTGGGCTTGTGCAGCCCAAGATGCTGTCCGCAAGGTGGCACTGCTCCTGCACCCTGGAGCCATCCTGCCCGGAGCTGGCCATTTTGGGGGTTCAGCATATTTGGGGCTCAGATTTCAATTCCAAATGCTTTCCCCATCCTGTAATAGCCAGTGATAACACACAGCAGGAATTGTGTCCTTATTAATACTGGGCATTTCCCAGACACCTGCTGTGAAACAGCTGTGCTTTGCTCCACAACTCTGGCATGTTCCCCCATGGAGTGGGAGAGCCTGTAGACCCTGAAGAGGGCTTTGCTCCACAGCAGGGACCCCGGGAGCTGAGCTGCTTTCTGTGCCAGGAGTCATGAAGGATAAATAAAGGTTAAACACAGAGCCCTGCTCTTGTGCAGCATGGTGGACATGATGCAATAGCACTGACTTTGTCCCCTGGTTTTAGCTCTGAGATGACCTCTTCACTCAGGGATGACCCAGATATTGAGTGAGTCCCTACCTGTGTGCTTAAACAAACAGCAGATATCTGGAGCATGCAAAAACACCAAACCCAGATCCAGTGGAAACCAGTGGCAGAGTTTCTGCACATGTATGATTTTGTCCCTGTCTATCTCCTGGAACAAGTCGGGCATTTTTTCAGCATGGGATGCACTGATGGATACAAGCTGTGCTCTGGCAAGTTTGTAGAAAATCAAATGTTGCTGTGTGCACAGCATCCAAATGTTTGCAAATCTGGCACTTGTATACCTACTGTCTTCCATCAGACAGGACAAATCCAAAACACAGCAGGACTACAATCCTGTTACAGCAGATTAAAATGGAGTGGCCTGCAGTGCAGTGCACCAGAAATCTGCATGCATCACCCTTGGCAGAGGTGTAACTTGTCCCCATGAGGGTGGTGCTCATGAAGAACACGCTAAAATGATCACTCTGCTTCCTGCCAAGGCACCCATGCTGCAACACTAGAACCTGAATCTCACAGGGGTACAATAGGACACATCCATAGTCCAAGCTAAAGCCCTGGCCCAGTGCAGTTCCTTAGCCACCACCTCGACTAAATGAAATCATCCAGCTCAATGTCCAAATGCAGTCAAGCTTTAAGGTCCCTTCTAACCCACAACATTGTGTGATTCTGATTCTAAACTGGAGACTGTTTGGAAACTGCCCTGGCAAGGCAGTACCTGAGATTAGTCTTTTCCGGCATTTGTTCACCAGATCCTGGCAGTACTCAATTTCTGCCTTCAGGTCCTGCAGTTCAGCATAACTAGACCTGTACTCTTCCTTCAGCTCCTTCAGCTTCATGATGAGTAAAAACTCCTTCTCATCAATTATGATGTGTCCTTTCTCATCAACATACTCTCCTGGAGGGTAAGAAAAGGAAATTAAGGTTTCTTATGAGGGTGGAGAGGAATGAAGAGCAGTCATTATACTCTGAACCACACAGTAGTTACCCAGTTATACTGAGGTTAACCACACAACTGACATTTCCTTAGACACGCTTACTACAAATACAATGCTGCTGAAATTTCTGCTGAACTCCTGAACCCTCTCAGACACCAGTCCTCCCTCAACTGAGGCATGTGCAGTTAAACTTTAAGAGGCCAACAAGAAAGCTGGAGAGGGACTTTTTATAAGAGCCTGTAGGGATAGGACAAAGGGGAATGGCTTTAAACTGACAGAGGGGAGATTGAGATGGGATCTGAGGAAGAAGTTCTTCCCTGTGAGGGTGGTGAGGCCCTGGCACAGGTTGCCCAGAGAAGCTGTGGCTGCCCCATCCCTGGCAGTGTTCAAGGCCAGGTTGGACGGGGCTCAGAGCAACCTGGTCTAGTGGAAGGTGTCCCTGCCCATGGCAGGGGGTTGGAACTGGATGAGCTTTAAGGTCCCTTCCAACCCAAACCATTCTGGGATTCTCTGATTCATGAAGAGGAGGGACCAGGCTGCACAGGAAGACAGCCCACTGGAGGGTATCACAGAGAGCTTTTATGCCTCCTACTGAGAAAGCCCACGGGCAGCCATGGTGAGGGTTTTTGTGACGAAGGGCTGGTCAGCCCTTTAGGGACACTTAAGCCAGTGCTACTGTCCTTTGATAAACATCTCTCAGTTTTTATTACCCTCAAATCAGTTTATTCCTGTGGTTTTCAGCAGCCACAATATACCACTAGTTGGTGAGCAAAGGTTCAAGAAAAGCCATGAAAAGACAGACCCTCGCTTTGATCTGATTTTCTTGTCATTTATCCAGGAGAGCTTTGCATATTTCAGACCCTATGGGAAAAGGCCCCTTGGTGATAAAATTCTCTCTAGAGGAAGAGAAATGGAAACCAGCAGAGGAAACTGGGCCCTCATTCTCTCTTATTTCCCACTAATTGCCTGCCATCCATTAAGGGTGTAGTTTCACAGAACTGAATTATTTTGCTGTACTCCCCACATGCAAGGAGCACCATTGCTACTTCCTCACAGAGCACTCTAGACTGCTCTATTACTAAAGCCATTTGTTTCAGATTTCTCCCCCAGCCCAGAGGCTTTTCTTCTCCACTCCTCTGTAGAGTGCAGCAGCACTGACTCTTGGGAGCCCTGCTGCAGGGAGCATGTAACTTGACACACTTCCTAGTCTCATCCAGGCATATTTCACCTAAAAAACATCTTGCCACAGCAAAGTAGGAAGGCACTTATGCCATATTTTGCTCTAGTACCTTGTAGTTTGGGATTTTGACTTTCATAAATCATGGAATGGTTTGGGTCAGAAGGGACCTTAAAGCTCATCCAGTTCCAATCCTCTGCCATGGGCAAGGACACCTTCCCCGTCCAACCTGGCCTTGAACACTGCCAGGGATGGGGCAGCCACAGCTTCTCTGGGCAATCTGTGCCAGGGCCTAATGAAATGAAGCTATAGGAGACGCATTTCAACCAGATAGGGCAAGCGTGCTACCTAGGATTTCTGCACTGTGCTGACCTGCTTTTGTCAGCAGAATGTTGCCTAATCCATCACAGTATGGGGTGAGGAATCAAGCTGACTGCAGCTCACCTCACCAGTGTAAAGCCTGAGTAGCATGATTCAGTGTGGATGAAGGGTGGAGGACTCAGGTGAAGGACTCAGGTAGCAAAACACAAGCTCAGCTCCAGAGCTGGGGCATAAAGCCTGGCCCTGGCAGGCAGCAGTGGTGGTCCAGTGGTCTCACTACCAGAACTGCTTTGAAACCAGCAGCTCCCCTCTTCTGTCACATTCTTGCTGGCCAGTGTCCACTTACCCTGCTGCCACCGCTCCTGCTGCTGATCCTCCAGAGCCTTTTCGATGCTCTCCATCTCAAGCTTGATGGAGTTGATCTTCTGTGTTACTGTACTTCTTCTCTTCTTCCTGTCAAGTAGGATGCATTTGTTCTCTTTAAAGATCCGGCTGATCTCACTTCCATACTCTGCCTTAAACATCTCAAATGCTGCTGGCTTGGGTGGAGGGGAGCTGCAGCAGAATTCAAACAAAAGGCACATAGACATGGGGAGGTCAGTTCTGCCCTGCAGCACAATAGAGTCCATAGCTGCCATAGCTGATGGTATTCCAAGGTGCCCTCAAATGATCCTCAAAGGATCTCACTGTCCTAGCTGCACCCTGGCACCATCTCTGCACCGACCCTCATACGTGTACCCCAGTACTATTCCCAGAAGAATGAGTTATTAACATAGAAACCACATTCCTTAGGAGATGCCTCAGAACTGAGTCTCCCCTGGAAAGTGGACCTTCAAGGTCTGAATTTTCAGAAAAAAGGTAATTACTATCCCTCCCGATTGTTAAACAGAAGTGCCTTTGCTCTTTCCTTGCTGGATTCCCAGCACAGAGCAGTCAGTCACCTCTGCCAACAAACCCCACAGCTGCATGGGCTCTACAATGCCGCCACCCATGGCTTTGAAGTCTTGCCTATTTAGAAAGACTGAATTCAAAGTGACACATGTCGATCCTGACTTTTCTATGAAATGGCTGTGATGCAAAGGCTTTGATGCTCTGAGGGCTGGAGCACCTCTCCTATGAGAGAGCTGGCCTTGTTCAGCTTGGAGAATAGGCAGCCACTCTTTGATTCTATGATGCAAATGTGTTTCCATGAACACCAGCTCTTAGTTCAACACAAACCACACTAGGCAAAAGGAGAGGCCCTCAGGGGAACATCACACTCCCGTGGATGCTGCTCTGTACTGTATAAGGTTGTTCTTGGTGTGCAAGCTGGATCTGGTAGCAGAAGGTAGCCAGAAGTCTCTTCATTCCTCTGTCCAGACTGGTCAAAGCAAAAGTCTGGTTATTGCCTTTCCCTGATTGACCTCTTCAGGGCATTTTTCAGACTTCTCAAAGGCTGCATCAGACAGCTTTCCCTGTCAAACTGCTGGCATGGCAATGTAAACAACCACCACTGGGCAGACTGCCACAGCTACAGCTTTGACAGCCACCTACCAAGCTACCTGAAGCACTCTGGGTGCCTTACACAGCTGCAGCAGCAGCCTTCGCTGCCAGCCACAGGACTTACAGATTAATACTAAAACACATGCAGAGGTCTTGGAGGAACATGATAACATGTTAAGGTGCTTCAGGAGTAAATTCTCCTGGGACACCTTCATTGTGATGCTCTCCCTGGGCAGCAGGAGCAAGAAAGGAATGGTTGTCTACAGCACAAGCAATGCAGGTGCTCACAATACTTAAGAGCTGCATCGCTTGAGAGCTCTCAGCAAGAAAAGATGATTGATGATGAGAAAACCAGTGTCCTGATCTGGTTTGTAGAGGGCCTTGGCTGAACTCCTGTGAGCTAAACCTCATTCTGTTGAGACCATTCTCCTGGAAAGAGTTCTTTGTCTTGGTACCCTTAGCATTTTTCACCCCATCCACTCATCCAGAACAAAATGCAATTCAGTGCTGCCCTCCCATGCTAAATTCTTGCCTTGCTACAAGCAGCTGGTTGGCGCATTGCTCCAGTTTTGGCCATTTTCCACTCTTCTGTTTTAATATGGTACCTCCTGACATGATCTGTGCAGCTATTGACCCATTTTCATGACTATGTGGGGTTTTGTGGCTGCACATGTGGTGCTTCTGCAATTTTACTATTAGCTAAAGGGCAAAGAGTGCTGTAATTCTCAAAGACTTCCCAATTAATCACAGAGCAGGGACACCTTCCACCAGACCAGGCTGCTCCAAGTCCCATCTAACCTGGCCTTGAACACTGCCAGGGATGGGGCAGCCACAGCTTCTCTGGGCAACCTGTGCCAGAGCCTCACCACCCTCACAGGGAAGAACTTCTTCCTCAGATCTCATCTCAATCTTCTCTCTGTCAGTTTAAAGCCATTCCCCCTTGTCCTGTCTCTACAGGCCCCTGTCAAAAGCTCCTCTCCAGCTTTCTTGTCAGCCTCTTCAGGCACTGCTCTAAGGTGTCCCTGGAGCCTTCTCTTCTCCAGGCTGAATAAGCCCATTTCTCTCAGCCTGTCTCCATAGCAGAGGTGCTCCAGCCCTTGGGACATCTTTGTGGCCTTCTCTGGACTTGCTCCAACAGCTCTATGTCCTTCTTATGCTGGGGCCCCAGAGCTGAACATAGTATTCCAGAATCTGTGGGGCCTCTCAAGAACAGAATAGAAGGAGAGAACCCCCTTCCTAGACATGCTGGCCAAGGCAATGTAATAGAGCAACTAGCTAGGGCAGCACTCAAAGCAGATGGAGAAGATAACCATCACCAACATAATTCAGCACACAGGGTGTCCCTACAACCACTGCTGTCCTACAATGTATTAATGAATCCAAGCAAGCAAGATCTCTGAATCCCTCCTCTTTACTTTGAAGCAGATAGCTGTACTAGGGGAACACAATGCAATCACTTCGGTGTAAACAAACCTCTGGCGAAGGGGATATTCTTCCTCACAGGAAAAGCTTACCTGGGCTGCTGGGAATCCTCCACAGGAGATGGCTTTGAGAGCTCTGCATCAATATTTCCTGTATCCTGGTCCCTTGGTACCTCTTTCACGTCCAGATCCTTAGTGGAAAACATGACCTGACTTTTTGATGGTAAATCCCCTTCCACATCTTTCCAAGAAAGATTGCTCCTCATTCCTTCCTTCCTGGGGGGGGGGAGGGGGAGGTGAACCAGATTAATTAAATTTTTCATGAAACCAGACCTTGCTGCGGGTGCTAGCATTGCTGATTCAAAACACTAGCAGTCTGATGAGGCTCCTACAAAAGCCTGCAGTGAAATACCTACTGACAAGCGGTAAGATCAGCTTTGTTCTCCTCACAAGTCCTTACCTCCTAGAGCTGAGAAATTGCCTTGTGTAGCAAGTAATACAGAATATAGCACAGGCTGGACTAGATCTCTAGAGAAGGATCACAAGGACAAGAGTCCCACCCTGTCTGGAGTGAAGCATGCCTGCAGACAGGATAACCCTCTTTACCTTCAGAGGAACCTACAAACCAAATTCCCCAGGATCTGATCTAACCCACATCAAAATCAACCCCAGCTCTCTGTTCTTTTCCCTCAGCTCACCTCCACAAACACCACCAGCCTTATCTGCAGGGGACAGTGTGACTTCAAAGGGGTACAGGAAAGTGTTTGCTAAGTCTCCTTGCATCTCCCTAAAAAACAGAACTGCACAGAGGAGCCCACTGTGTCATGTGGATACTAATGCCTTGACAATTCCTCTCCTCTGTAATACAAGGACTTAGACCAACATAAGAAGGATATGGAGCTGTTGGAGTGAGTGCAGAGGAGGCCACAAACATGCTCTGAGGGCTGGAGCACCTCTGTTGTGAAGACAGGCTGAGAGAGCTGGGCTTGTTCAGCCTGGAGAAGAGAAGGTTCCAGAGGGACCTTAGAGCAGCTTCCAGTGCCTAAAGGGGCTGACAAGAAATCTGGAGAGGGGCTTTTGACAAGGGCAGGTAGGGACAGGACAAGGGGGAATGGCTTTAAACTGACAGAGGGGAGATTGAGATGAGATCTGAGGAAGAAGTTCTTCTCTGTGAGCAGAAAAAGATCCTTTGATTTATAAAAGTAAGGTCCCCTGCATTGGCTGTTTCTACTACTGCTCCCATGGCCAAAAGCCTCCTCTGCGCTCACTCCAACAGGCCCATGTCCTTCTAAGAGTATGGCTGGTGGCCATAAGGACACCAGAAACCCTTACAGCGTTAGAGGAGCCACAAAAGTTTTACATACTTGTTTAAGTCAGCTTCCTCTCTGTCTTTCCCCATGGGTTGCTGCCAATCACACCTTGACCAAACCTGGTCACTGCGATGACACGTTATCAGAGAAAAGAGAGAGCAGTCTGGCTACTTAACTCACCTGAATGTCTCACCATTCCTTCTGGATTTCTTCTTCCTACCATGTCTGGATGAAGGAGCAGTGCTGGTGTCAAAAGCCTGCTCATCCTCTTCGTGCACCAAATGGCCATCCACATCAACTACACCTGCCTGGAAACAGGAAGAAATAAAACATGGACCAGAAAGCATTAGATTTGTAACTTTCTATACCACAAAAGCTATACAGCCCTTGCCCAACAGTTATTCCATCCTGTTGTATCATCTAATATGGAAATCTGTACACATTAGCAAGTATTCCAAGGAAACACATCTGTAAGAAAGAAGTGAGAACTAAAATAAGGCCAAAATCATCCTCAAATTCATATGCTGAATGTTTCAGCCACTTAGAGGGAGAACAACTTAGGTCTAGTGTCCCAAAAGAAATAAAAGCACCCTCAGAAGTCTGGTGAGGCCCTGGCACAGGCTGCCGAGAGAAGTTGTGGCTGCCCCATCCCTGGCAGTGTTCAAGTCCAGGTTGGATGGGGCTTGGAGCAACCTGATCTAGTGGAAGGTGTCTCTGCCCATGGCAGTGGGTTGGAACTGGATGGTCTTTAAGGTCCCGTCCAAGCCAGACCATTCTGTGATTCTATGGTGATTCTTTGATTTCTGAGCTTCGTATTTCAACAGGGAAAAGTTGAGAACTTGAGGCAATTCATGTTAGAACAGCAAAGGAGCCAATTCTAAGATTGATTCTGGGCGAGGCTTGAGCACCAGACATTACCTTATGAAGAGCAGCAATAGTAACAAAGTCATTTTTGTCTATCAGAGCGTACTTGCTTCGTAATCTCGCCTCCACTTCACACTCCTGTTGACTAGGGGAGAAAACAGCCTCTTACCATTGTGTTCAAGGAGGATTATTTCTTATGTCAAGACCTTTGATAATGCCAATATCAGATTTCCAAAGAAAATCATTTTTTACCTGTGATCTCATTCCCAAACACCCCACCTTCCTCCTTCCATCCTTTCCATAGCTACTGTAACCTTTATTTACTTTCCTCTATTTTCTACAAACTCCCTTAGGCCTCGTACATATAGAAGCTTTCTGATGGCTCTTTTAATACTCTACATAACCTTTTAGTGGTCCAGATCAAACCCTGTTACCTCCATTCAGTGCCATCCCCTTCCTTTAACCTAGTGATTTTTCAAACTGAATGATTTTTTTATGGAAAAGCATTATCAGCAGGCTCAAATACACTATACAAGACTAAACATCCTTAAAGAATCTCCAAGTTAAAAACTACTGAACTCCACTGTTTCAGAACAATAAAATGAGCCCCAAGTTAAAAAAAAAACTAATAGGCAAAATTTTATCATGAAACCCATTTTGTTCTCAGGTCCCAAGGAAAGCCTGACTGCACAGTGTGATGATGTACTATAGACACTTGTGCTCACTCAAGTTTCTCAAGGGCATGCAGCTTCTCTACAGCAATATCCCACTGTCACACTTGTGAGTTGCAACCTCTACTGCCCAGCAAGGTCGTACAGCTTGATGGGGCAGGGACTGCGGGGGTTGCCCTAATACCCTTATTCTTCTTTGTTCTCTTCTATTTCATGACATGCAAGCTGCTTGTCCTCATTTTTAGGAGCCTGTCATTCACCTTCCTTCCTTCCGCAACAACTTTCACCATCCACTGGTGACATTTTCAAACAGGCACTTTCTTGCTTTCTCCGATCCCACACCACACATCAGAGAGCACCTCCCTGAAAACAGCCACAGAACCTTCTTATCATGCTCCTGCAATTGTTTTGTGACCTACCTGTGCCACAATCAAAAAAAACCCAAGTAAACCTGATGACTTCTTGAGGCTGCTGTGGTGAGACCACTTTATATCACCTCATCCTACAAGGTCTGCTTTTTCTTTTGATCTGTTTGCAGAATGCCTTATGCAATGGAGATATGCTCCATGATTAGGGATCCCACACAGTTTATACTCAGTGACAGTATATTTGCCAAGAATTTTTAACCAGTGATGTTCATCCTTGAGAGCCCTTGCACATGATGTATGAGCATTAGAAGTTAGAGGTAATAGTCTTGTGCAGACGCCAGCAGAATTTATCCAGAATTGTGTTTTCCATTACAAGGAGGAAATGGCTTTAAACTGTCAGAGGGGAGATTTAGATGAGATATTAGGAAGAAGCTCTTCCCTGTGAGGGTGCTGAGGCACTGGCACAGGTTGCCCAGAGAAGCTGTGGCTGCCCCATCCCTGGCAGTGCTCAAGACCAAGCTGGATGGGGCTTAGAGCAACCTGGTCTGGTGGAAGGTGTCCCTGCCCAGGGCAGGGGGTTGGAACTGGATGAGCTTTAAGGTCCCTTTCAACCCAGACCAGTCTGAGATTCTATGACTCACCCATATCACTGTAACTGTGATACCACAGACAAAAGCCTGGTAGCATTTCTTGAACCTTACTGTGATATGCATCAACCTTGGATATCTTACCTTAAAATCAGTTTGAACTGCCTGAATACCTCCCGGATTTGCCTGAGGTTCACTATCTGAGGAAAAGAGGTATACAGTGACGATGTAAGCAAGCATCTCTAGGCTGTGGTCAGCTGTACTGATTCAAATATTTCAGACTGCAAGTACTCCACTTTCCATTTGCTGGGTGTCCACGCTCATGCAGGATTACCTTTATCCTGAGAGTCAGGCTGGAGGTGGATACATTGCTCACTCTTAGGAGACTTTTAAAGAGAAAGCAATCTGACAGACTACAGTAAATTCCATTTACTGTACAGCCACTGAGGTAATGAATTAATTATAATAATTTTTAAAATTACATAGATGGCATCTACTCACCTTGCAAATTATGATGCTACTTCTCTTTGCACTGCTGGCCAAGACTGCCTGAGTACTTACACCTGCCAGAGCACTATTGTTAGTCCAATAACTCAAGCCATACTACTCTCTGTTTTGGAGATGATGATCAGAGGCATGGACAAATAAATAATGGGCAGTCTGCAGATGAGCAAGAATCTGCCTCCAGCTCTCCCAAGGTCCGAAAGACTGGCCCACACTATGAAACACACAATCTCTGGTCTCAACTCTCTCTAAAAGATTCTTGAGTGTCACTGAAGACACCCTTCCCTGTGTAAAACTCCTTAGTCCTTCCGTGCTTTCCCTGCTCCACATCACATTTTGCAAGTCAGGTAACACACACCTTCATGTATGCCCTTATTCTGCTCCACTCCTGCCCGCTGGAGGGAGAAAACAGGGACTTTGAGAGAAGACAATAATTACATTAAATAAGAGAAAGTGTCTCAAGTCTTCTGTTCAAACTAAAGGGTTATCTGTTTCGAAAACACTCTTCCAGCAACTTCTGCACTCTTGTCACAGTGGCTTCTGCTCACAACCAAACCAAATTTCACAGTAGCTCTGAATGTGCATTTGCATTTCCATCTTCTTTCATTTTGCTTGTTTTCCTGTTTGCCCAGGCAGGAATATTTGTGTCCACAGGATTTCTGCTGCTTCTTTTCACAAGCATTTTGCAGTCACCAGCTAGTTTCAAGTCAAGAAACCCAGCCTTAATGAACCTGTCTCTGAAAGACTGGACAGGTTTTGGCAACACACCTTGCAAAGATTTAGTTTAACACTGGCAGAGCAAATTTTTGTCATTAATTATTTAAAGAAGTTCCAAATAAACCAACTCAAAAGGTTTCAGGACTGAGGAGAAGTCTCCTCAAGCTTCTGAAAAAGCAAAAATTGAATGAAAACAAAGAGACAGTCCTTAACGCACAAAATAAAAAACAAATTAAATTACTATTCTGTAACACTTTCAAGGTTAAAGACAGCCTCTTCAGAAGACATTTCCATTGCTTCTGTCCCAGAGTAAAATGAGATGGAATCAGTATTTATGTGCTTCTCCACTAGAAAGCTACTTACATCAATTTCATCAATGGCTCCTTTTAGGTATCTATGGACTTGAGACTTAATCTCTTCTATCTGGACGTGAGACAGAGGGTCATAAGTCACCAAAGAACGATTTGCCTGAGAAAAAAGGTGAACAACTGAGTATCAGCAAATCACAAAAAGCTAAGCAAGTGTGATGAACACCTGACGTGGCTCTAATGTGCCCAGGGAAGCCTTGTGTTTAATTTCTGATTGCAACTCCACACATCATCTGAGTTGATAGGACATGGGACGTGGGGACATGCTGGAAGCAATGCATCCCCTGCACATTTCAATCACACAACAGGAGGGCTTCGAGAGTCTGAAAAAAATAGGTGGGGTGGCTAGGGACTGAAGCTACAACACAGTCTCACTAGGATCTTCAGAGCTTTGCCCAAACCCCAAAAGACAGTGCTGAAAGCTGAAGGAAGAATACAGTCATGCTGAGTGCTGAGTTAGCTGATCCTACTGCAAAAGAAAAATCTGGACAAAGCTTTAACTAGGTCCCATCTAAGACACTGCAACCTATTCCTTACCAAGCTGTCATGTACGGCCAGTTCCTGCTTCAGAAAAGCAATCTCCTTCTCCAAAGCCTTCACTGTCCCCTAGCAGGAAAACAAAAGGGTGAGCAAATGACTAAATGCTATTGGAGAAAAAAACCTACAGAAAAGCAACATTAAACTGGCTGCTAAAAGATATCATAGCAATACACCAGCTCCCCCAGGGTTTGCTGTCAGGTTTGCATCAGTGAAGTAGCAGCTCTGGAAATCATTTTGCCTTTCATTAGCTTCCAACAGGACAGCTTCTGTTGTGTCCTCGGTGTACTGCCTGCAGAGTCAGACCAAGCCTTCAAAGGAGGGCCACCTGGCTTTTAATTTCACGCTTTCCTGAGCTGGTACTGTAGGGGCCATCACATTCTGGACTATGAGATACTATCTCAAAAGCAAAGAAGTGTGGAGGTTTCCACCCTGACTCTTACCGAACTCAGCAGGAGTTCTGACATTAACTTTAATAGAGGAGAAAGTCACCTGTGATGTATTTGATTGAATTTCTCCATAACATGGAATATCTTCAAGCATTCACTATTTAGAATGTGTTTTCAGAAAGGTGTGGACACACAAGTCACCTTGGGATTCAGGGAGAATTGGATACTGAGCTGCTTTTTAAGTGATTTGTTGAGCACAATAGCTTTCTTAAAGAAAAGTTAAACACTGCTGGATTGGGAGCAGCCCTAAGGAGAAGGACTTGGTGGTGTTGGTCAATGAGAAGCCAACCCAAGCCATTCTAGGATTCTATGATACTCTTTCAGCTACTCTTTCCCACTCCACACATCTCAGATGAAAGGCACTGAAGAGGAAAAGACAGTTTGTTGCACAGCTTCTTCTGGAAGCCGTTGGAGGAAACTCCACAGCTGTTTTTCTGCTTGCCAGTGAGATTAGACCATGAAATAAGGCAGGGCTCTCACGCGCCACATGTGTTATGGATCAGATGGCTGCAAACTTGTTCCTTGGGCCATTAGTAATTCATAGATTATTTACTGCTGCCAGCTCTGTTTCAGCTGTGAAAGTGCACTCAGGACATCTGAAATAGTATCATCATTTTCTGTAAGTTTTTTCCTAGTTTAAACAAGTTTTGTAATTGTGGCAAAAAAGTTCTTTTACCAGCAGCAATGGGGATAATGCTGTGTAAAGCTACAGGTAGGACTGTAGATCATTTCATAGAACTATAGAATGGTTTGGGTTGGAAAGGACCTTAAAATTCATGCAGCTCCAGCCCCTTCCACTAGACCAGGTTGCTCCAAGCCCCATCCAACGTGGCCTTGAACACTGCCAGGGATGGGGCAGCCACAGCTTCTCTGGGCAACCTGTGCCAGGGACTCACCACCCTCACAGGGAAGAACTTCCTCACATCTCATCTCAGTCTCCCCTCTGTCAGTTTAAAGCCATTCCCCCTCATCCTGTTCTTACCTGCCCTTGTCAAAAGCCCCTCTCCAGTTTTCTTATCAGCCCCTTTAGGCACTGGAAGCTGCTCTAAGGTCCCCCTGGAGCCTTCTCCAGGCTGAACAAGCCCAGCTCTCTTGGCCTGTCTCCGTAGGAGAAGTGCCTAGGAATTTCTCCACAGACCATGGGAGTAGCCCAGAACATAGTATCTCTGCTAAAAGGTCAATCTTATCAGAAAAATGAGGGACTTGTATGCATGCACTTGAAAGAATTACCACATGGCAGCGAAGACATGACCATCTGCATGACTGTAACATGTAGCATATTCAAGGTAACTGTAATTAAATACCAATGAAAAAAGGTTTAATACTAATCCATTTCATCAGTTACCTAAATTTAGCAAATGTCAGCTCAGCTGATGAGTGGTAATTCATTACACTATCAAATCTCTGTTTTTTAAGGTCATTATCTTCAATATTAATGAACCTGACAAAAATTGCCTTCCTCTCTTCCCCTTCTCTACGTACCTCTTGGTCATATGTCTCATTGAGGACTGGCTCTGTCGTGACCCATTTCATTCTGTTAGCAAACCGAAGAGAAGACAACTGAAAAAGATATTAGCAAGGATAGAATTTTCATAGTCTGTTACTTCTTAACCATATCAGATCCCAGAACACAGAAATAAAAAAGCTATTTAACTGAAGGGAGCAATATAGGATTTCTTATTCTGGGATCATATCTTCTAACGCTCAGTGGCTTCTGTGTGATTAGCCAGCTTCAGATGATGTCTTTGTCCTTTCTGTTCTGCCTGTGGACAGCTCTGTGTGTATCAGAGCAGTGATCTCCAAAATACCCACACCCACTTCTCATAAAAACAAGACTTACATCCCAAAACCTCTAAATCACACATCAATGGCCTTCGAGTTTAACTCCTGCAGTTGTGGTATCCTGAGACTAAACCCCTACCACCTGAAAAACCTCCTCTTGATGCAAAGCATAGTTGCTGACTCCTGAGCAATACTGTTCCTAGATGCTATCAGAACACAAGAAGATGATAAAACAACTTTGCCTTGAAAACAACTACCCAACAGATTAATTTGGGTTGGTTTCTTTTGCTACATACAAACATAAATACATACATTTTTCTTGGCAATGAGCAAAGTGATTCCCTTCAAGGATACCACCAGCAGAGCCAGCAGAGATAAAGATGTCACTGTCCCACTCTACTCAGTGCTTGTCAGGCGACTCCTGAAACACTGTGTTCAGTTTTGGCCCCTGCCACACAAAAAAGATGTGGACAGGCCAGAGAGGGTCCAGAGAAGGGCCACAAAGATCATCCAAGGACTGGAAAGCCATGTGAAGAAAGGCTGAGCGAGCTGCACTTGTTCAGCCTACAGAAAAGAAGGCTCATAGGAGACTCTATCATCATGTTCCAGAATTTAAAGGGTGGCTACAAAAAAGATGGAGACTCCCTTTTTACAAGGAGTTTCATGGAAAAGACAAGGGGCAGTGGGCACAAGTTACTCCTGGGGAGATTCCAGTTGCACAGAAGAGGAAAATTTTTCACAATGAGAACAATCAGCCATTGGAATAATCTCCCCAGGGAACTGGTGACTCCCCAGTGCTGGACCCTGTTAAGACTGGGCTGGACCTGGTGCTGGGCCATGTAGCATGGGTCATGCTTTGCCTGTAAAGGTTGAACCAGATGATCCTTGAGGTCCCTTCCAACCTGGGATTGCAGGATTCTGTGATTCTCTGTTACAGATGTGGTTAAGTGGATTCAGTTTACACAGTGAGACTTTTCTCAATTTCATTATTTCACAGGTTAAACCCCCCCCAGTGTTAGGAAGATACTCCCACTTCCTGAAGCAGCAGAAAGCCAGCTCAGCTCTGAACCAGTGCAGTCCCACTGACCTCGTTATACTATGTATCATTCAAATGCATTCGTAGAGTTGAACCATCAATAATTACCACTCCTCAGTGTGCTTAGATTTTAGCTGCTTGTGCCTGCTCTATTTTGGGCTCTCATTTCTTCCCCTGGGCCAGTTACCACTCATCTGTTTGCATCACAAAGCAGATTGGTAAGAGCAATCTCTTCTCTGAGCCTTTGAGATAAGATGAATTAGGCAGGATGTTGCTCTGGGACTCCTGCCATAGCCCTCCAGAGACCAGTCTTTAAACCAAGCTACAGCCAGTTGTAACAGTATCAAGAACAAGAGTCACATTCTGCAGAAATCAGTTTAACTTACAGTGTGTTCCACATGCGCAGCTTCCCCACAGACATTTGCCACTAGAACAGTATTGCAGTTTCTCCCTGGGAAAAATAAAAAAAAATAAATAAAAGAATAATTTTCTAAAAGGCAAATAATATAATTAGGGGGTTCATTGTTTCTTTTTTTTTAATGTATTATGTTCTGTGCTGACTAAAATAAGAGAAAAAAGAGCAACAAAGAACACAGCCAGTTTGTCCTTCTAAAGTTCCCATGGGTCCAGAGACACAGTGGCACAGAATGACTGAAGAATAAAGGCAACAGGCATTTCTCACATGGTGACGATGCAGTAGGAAGACAAGAACACAAACTGTGAAAGCCTGAAATTGAGAAAACTGGAGCAGAGGATTTTGAAATCCCTTGGCCTAAATCTAATAGTGGGGAACCTGGCAGGATGTGGTCCCTGCCTTTCCTAAACACAAGACTCGGCTCAGAAATGCCTTGAACATCACTCTCCTTTCTGATGCCTTTGGTTACACCACACAAACCCCTACAGCCTGTTTTCAACTGCTTTCTCCTCCCATGTCTCCAGCATTCCAGAAGCACAAGCCTGGATTCATGATGTGCCTCAGCTTTGGGTTTATCACCTGCAGCTTGATGCTAATGCAGAAGGGCCTGAAAAGGCTTGTAACATGCTGTTTGGGTTTGTTTGGGTTTTTTGTGGCAGCTTTTTACAGCATTCTAACTAAGGTTTTGTGAATTCCTACTAGTTTGAAGAGTGTGGGCTTTGCACTTTCTCCTGCACCTGCTGTTTTATTTGATGAAGAAAACCAGACATCCTTTGAACAATGGTGAGTTCTGTGTGTTTCTATGTTATGACCGTACAACTAGGAACTGTCGGGGCCTGCTATGATGCACAGCTCTTACCCAGGGAGTCCTTGAGGACGTAAGTGAGCTTGCTCTGCCGGAAGGGGATGTGGTCCCTCTTAGGATCAGCCAGGGCAGTGATGACTTGCTCCAAGAATGACAGAGACTTGTTGATGTACGTGGCCTCCTTCAAAAGCTGTCCTTCAGACTGTAATGCAAGATCAAAAAGCAAAACTTCCACAACACGTACTTCTGGTCTAACTGCAGGAGGGAGCATACTCCTCACTGAGAGTAAAACTCTGTTTGCCTCTGAGGGTAAGGAGCTAATTCAGACCTGATAAATTCATGAGCTAGAGCTTTCTTCAGTTTGAAAACAAGTTTTCAGAGACCTCAATTTTTCATTATAAGTTTGCAAGGACCACTGTCTTTCCCCCAGCAGGGTAAATCATGTTTTGGCATGGGGCTGATGCAGTTTCTACTCTGCTCAATGTAGAATGTCACACAGGACCTGAGAAGCTTTCAGTTGTTGAGCCCTAACACCCTGAGAAACTTTTGATAGTTTACCTGCCGTAACCAGAATTTGCACTGTTGCTGCTGGAATGAAGAGGAAAATCAGAGGCTCTTTGAGAAATTACAGACTCAAATTACATGGGTCTGGGTTGGGTTGGAAAGCAAACGCAGGATAGGAGTCACATGTGGACTTACAAATGATACACAGCAGCTGCAAACAACTGAGCACCTTCTGACATGTTATCATGACTTACAATTTGTCACAGCGTCACCTATTTATCACAGGCTGAATTCTGTTGGGGGGGAAACCTGTAATTTCACCTCCATCTTGTTGATTACTGGGCTCATCACCACAGACTGAAATATTTCTTCCATCACTTACTCCAGACTTGCTCTGTCTCTCTGAGCCTGCCAGATCTATTAAGTTGATCTTAGAGTTAACACATTTGATGTCTGAGAAAAATCTGAAACGAGACTGAGGGAGAAAAGAATATAAACTGTAGACAAAACTGAAATACAGTAAAAACCAGATGTCTAAAGATCCTCAGCCACTGGAGTCCCCAGAAAAACTGCTGAAGCACTTACCTCAATGTAAATAGTAAAGATGCAATGGGACCTGGACGAATGCTTGTTCAGTGCATGCTCTGCTATTACTCTTTTGTTCTCACCCTGCAAATGAAGTCAAAATTCAAACAATGTTTTTAAAATTCTTCATGGGTAGAAATTATAAATCCACACAGTTAAATAAATGGCAATTCAATCTTTGCTCCATACAGACTGTAACTCCAATCAGTTGGTTCACAGAATCACAGAATTGTTAGTGTTGGAAGTGACCTTCCAATCAGCTCATCCAGTTCCAATCCCCTGCCACAGGCAGGGACACCTTCCACTAGACCAGATTGCTCAAAGACCCATCCAACCTGGCCTTGAACACTGCCAGCAATGGGGCAGCCACAGCTTCTCTGGGCAACTGTGCAAGGGCCTCACCTCCCTCACAGGGAAGAACTTCTTCCTCACATCTCACTAAATCTCCCTTATATCAGTTTAAAGCCATTCCCCCTTGTCCTGTCCCTACCTGCCCTTGTAAAAAGCTCCTCTCCAACTTTCTTGTCAGCCCCTTTAGGCACTGAAAGCTGCTCTAAGTTCTCCTCTGAGCCTTCTCTTCTCCAGGCTGAACAATGGTTAGGGCAGTCAGAGTGGGAACTCACCAGGTTTGCCTTGTTTTCTTACTCAAAGGCCTCTCAAAGCACTTCATGGGGGGGGTTGATAAAGGTCACAGTTTACTATAATAATGCCTTTTACTGGAAACTATTTCCACTTTCGATGCTCAGCTCACAGAATTGTGGCTTTTTGAGAAACAGTCAGGCAAGCCTTGCTCAGAGGCAATACCTCCCTGGCTGTTTCAGTTTCTTGAATACTAGAAACCCAAAGCACTCCCCAGGCTTCAAATGTCATAGAAAACTCAAACATACACAATAGCTACAAATCTGTAATGCCTGCTTACAGGAAAAGAAAGTGACATTGAAAATGATGTGGTAACTGTTTGTTAGAAGTGCCAGGCTATCACAGAGCAGTGCTGTCAGGCTGGCAAGACAGAAAAGGAAACAGAAGGCTCTACAGCACAGAAATGCTGCTGTCAATAGGTTTCACAGCCAGAATCTGCCTGGCTCTAAAAGGACGATGACTTTTGAGAGCTGAAAGGTCAGTAACTGGCTCCACGCTAGGCAGTATAAATCCACGAGCAAGAAAGTGAAGAGCTTCAGGTATCAGTACTATCAAGCCCAGTCCACAAATGAAGAATCACAGCATGTGGCCAGGCTCCTCAAAGTCTGGAGCTTTCTCTGTGAACCTCAAACCACAGGCAGAACTCATCTAAGGATGCTGAATGGGTCCCCAGGCCCCACTTGCACTTCTTTTATTAACAGATCTCAAGCTAAGTTACATTATCATTATCCTACTCTTTAAAAAGAAAGAGAGCTCCTGCCAGTCACAGAAGCTGGCTTAGGATACCACAGTCCCATTATTAAAAAGGTAAGTGAAATACTTTGAGGACACCAGGTGGTTCCTGCTATGAATACACTTCCTGCATACAGAACCAATTATTTATTCATGTTTTCCTTAAGAACTAAAGCATCCACAGTAAAAGAAAGATACAGATATAAGTAAGCAAACTCCCTTCACAAATCTAACCACTTGTGTGAACATCCTGCTGTAAAATCTGACTAATGGTACCTATGCCATGATCATCCCAAACTATCTGCCCAAGATGCTACTGCGAAGACTCTTTCCTTGGAACATGGACATAGCTAGGTCAGGCGGTGTGTTTTTTCAAGAAGAAATTCCACTGTAGATCATCTGGTTGGTCTAAAAGGATCCCAAACGTTGGACGCTTTCTACTAAGCCACTCACCAACACCCTTATGTGATAACCAGGGTCATGAAAACAAATCTTTTGGGCTGTCTGGGATCTCAGCCTGCTGATGGGGCCAGTGAGATAAACCTTTTGAAATGAAGGCATTCTGTGGCTGCCTTCTGTATTTTGGTGCTGTCTGAAACCTCCAATGCTACTACGTTCTGTGGTCTCACCCCAGCATGTTTCTTCCATCACTTGACTTGCTCTGGCATAGACTAAAACCAGAATTTCCCCAAGGAGATCTTCCAGAACCTCTGTGCCAGAACATGGGCTACAAGGAGTTACCAACTCTTCTATGCACACAACAAAGGGAACAAAGAGGGCTGAACCTCCCCCCAGCCCTCCTGGCCACCCACCTCCTGCTCTACTGCCTCCTCCCTGTGCTAAGCCAATAAACAATTAGATGAAGTGTAATATTTGTTTTCTCTTGCCTCAAAAAGGAGACTTAGAGCATCTTCTTCGAGGCTAATTTTATGTATAGATAAGCCCTTCACATAAACCCCTTCTGGGCAATCCACAATAGCCATCTGCATGTCACTGCTCCCATCGCTTGTCACGTTGGACAGAAGGTCAAACAAGGTCTCATTGTAGATTTCCAGATAGGATATTCGAACAGTGATGAGTGGATCAGTGGATTGTGCAGTTGCTTTGAAGACCTATACAAAGACAAGGAGTTCGTCAACAGCACTGCTAGTTCACAAACAGAATAATTAGCTATTTATGGTGTCCCAGAAAAGCTATTCATAACTTTCTGAACAGCTATAAGTGCATCCACGTGTGTGTAGCTAATTCCGAACAGGAGTTTCCTGAGGGCTGACAGGGCTAGGTCAACAATTTTAATATGATTTTGCAAAATGGAAGTGATGAAAACAATACTTTTGAATGCCTGCTTACGTTTGAGAAGCAGCAAGTAAACAGGAACAACCTCTGCAAATGACAATAAAGCATAACTACAGAATTCTTTCTGTCTTTGTTTCACAGAATCATCAAATCACTGACTAGTTTGGGTTGGAAGGGAGCTTAAAGCTCATCCACTTCCACCCAACCCTGCCATGGGCAGGGATACCTTCCACTAGACCAGGTTGCTCAAAGACCCATCCAACCTGGCCTTAAACACTGCCAGGGGTAGGGCAGCCACCACTTCTCTGGGCAACCTGTGCAAGGGCCTCACCACCCTCACAGGGAAGAACTTCTTCCTCACATCTCATCTCAATCTCGCTTATCTGAGTTTAAAGCCATTCCCATTGTCCTGTCCCTATATGCCCTTGTCAAAAGCCCCTCTCCAGCTTTCTTGTCAGCCCCTTTAGGCACTGGAAGCTGCTCTAAGGTCTCCCCAGACCTTTCTCTTCTCCAGGGTGGACAAGCCCAGCCCTCTCAGCCTGTCTCCATAGCAGAGGTGCTCCAGCCCGTGGAGCATCTTCGTGTCCTCCTCTGGACTCACTCTAACAGCCCCACGCGCTGCATGTCAGCTGTCTTTGTGGAAGTGGAAAGCATTCTGTGTCACTGCCTAAAGATAAACAGACCTGTCCCCTCAAAGCACTGCTAAGCTTGTGCCTCTGAACAGGGACATATCTATGTAGCAATGGGACTGACAAATCAGCATATTTCCAGCCAACATCATCCCAATGCTCTTAAACGTCATCATTATCAAAGCACAAGGTCATGGTGTAGTTAAACAAATCCAGAAAGTAACTATGTTTTACAGGCTCCTTTAAATCTTTAATGATCTTATCTTACATTAAAAGAATTAAAAAAACCCACTGCTGGAGATAAATTTATAACTTATTCACCATGTTAAAACACTTCTGTGAGTATCAGCAAGAGCTGATACAAGAGATGTCCTGGCTATTTCTTCCAGCTTCTTTTCCCAGTCAGATCCAATACCTGCTGTATAGCTCGTGGTATGATTCCTCGATGCTTGTAATCAGCAGTTGCTCCCATCATGGTGTAAGTTTTACCAGCCCCCGTTTGCCCATAGCACATTATCGTGCCTAGAAAAGATTCAAAAGCAAAAGAATAAACTCTGGAGGTAACCTCTGCATTTCACAAATGGAACATCAACAGGATCTCTCCCTCAGATCAAATCTCCACTTATTGTCAAAATAAGGCCAAGTGCAAGGTCCTACACCCGGGTCAGGGCAATCCCAAGCACAAATAAAGGCTGCAGAAGACTGGATTGTCTCCTAAGGAGAAGGACTTGGGGGTGTTGGTCCATGAGAAGCTCACCATGACCCGGCAGTGTGCACTTGCAGCCCAGAAACCAACCGTGCCCTGGACTGCATCACCAACAGCATGACCAGCAGGTCGAGGGAGGGGATTTTCCCCTTCTAGTCCATGCTAGTGAGATCCCCCCTGCAGCCCTGCATCCAGCTCTGAGGCCCCAACACATGAGAGATGTGGAGCTCTTGGAGCAAGCCCAGAGGAGGCCATGAACATGCTCCAGAGGGCTGGAGCATCTCTGCTATGGAAATAGGCTGAAAGAGCTAAGCTTGTTCAGCCTAGAGAAGAGAAGGCTCCAGTGACACCTTAGAACAGCTTCCAGTGCCTAAAGGGGCCAACAAGAAAGCTGGAGAGGGGCTTTTGACAAGGGCAAGAAGAAAAGAGGGAATGGCTTTAAACTGACAGAGGAGAGATTGAGACGAGATCTGAGGAAGTTCTTTCCTGTGAGAGTGGTGAGGCCCTGGCTCAGGTTGCTCAGAGAAGCTGTGGCTGCCCCATCCCTGGCAGTGTTGAAGGCCAGGTTGGACAGGGCTTGGAGCAACCTGGCCTAGTGGAAGGTGTCCCTGCCTATGGCAGGGGGTTGGAACTGGATGAGCTTTAAGATCCCTTCCAACCCAAACCAGTCTGTGATTCTATCATTCTATGTTAATAAAAATAGCACCAAGTTACCATTATAACCAATTAAAGCTTCGGACACCAATTTCTTTGCCACTGTCTCATAAAGCTGTTCCTGGGAGGTGTTGTGAAGGATGCCATCCATCCTAAAGCTCCAGCTGGTCTGCCTGCTATTCATAGCTTCTTTCTTGGCATCTTTTTTGAGGCAAATCTCTATGCTCTGAAACCCAAAAAGAGAGGAAGTTAACTTTGATAACCATGAAGAGTTTCAGCAATTGTTGTCCAAAAAGAAAAAATACGCACTGAAGACCTGGAGACCAGGAGGAAATGGAGCACAAAGAGCACTATTGTCATACTGAACCTGATGGTATTTTCTGCTAATGTATATTCTAAAAAAAAAAAAAAAAAAAAAAAAAAAAAAAGAGAAAGAAAGGTGGCTCAGCTCATCTGTTTACCCCCCAGTGATGTGTCTGATCTTGTGTCCCAGGGAAATTATGAACTAAGCAAGAGAAGATGAAGGGAGGAACTTGCATAAGGGAGGATAGAAACAGACGGTTCCACAGGTTGGAACTGAAGTTACCACTGGGAATTCCTCAAGGATCAGTCAGAGTCCCAGTCATTTTGAGGATTTACTCTAGTCACTGCATCACCAGAAGTGTGCTTTCCGTAGTCACACTTGCTGATACAAAACCACAAGCCTCTGTCAGCGCAGAGGAGAACAGCAAGCAGGACAAAACAAACAACGTGCACCAAAATGTGTGGCCTTAAGGAGTGGAAGAATTCTGCATTTCAGTGGGCAAAACTGAAACCAAATCCCAAACCTTTCACACGTGCAATCTCTTTTTGTCTACCTTGTTATCTGGCCCAAACTTGATCATATCTTGAGCAAAATCAGCTGTTGGCTTGACTCGCACGAATGCGTGGACTCTCTTTCTTACTAGATACATACTAACTAAAGAGGAAAAAAAGGAAAAATCAACACTGTTGCATTCCCTAAAAAGAAATGTAATGTTATTTGTCATGAAAAGGCAAGATACAGAGTAGTCAAGTTTAAAAATAAAGTGTTGACAAATGTTCAATTGCAGTCTCTATTCTTTATGAAAAGCAACTGTGGGCAACCAGTTGCTGAAAATTCTTTCCAGTATTGTTCTGCTCAGAATGCTGAGTGTGGATACAGAGAATTACTGATCATGATTTCCTCTTGTGTACCAGGCACATTAGTGTTTGACAGCACAAGCTTTCCCTCCTCTCAGGCTTGCAAAGAAAATAATTGCAGGAATATGAGAAGCATTTTCTTTTGTCCAGCGTTTTCAGTGTGTGAAGGCACTTGCAGCCTCCTGGTTTGTAGTGCCTGATCATCCAGAACTCGATTTCAGGCTTCTGAGGTTTTGAGTAAGATGTGCTGTAGGTGAAACCATGCCAAAAGGATCTCAACAACACTGCAAAGGGCTGTGCAGTTGTTGGTATGCAAACACTTCCAGTGCTCTGAACAGCAGTTACCTTGTTTACAGTCTGGATTGATTGTGCACTTCCCATATTTTGGAATTAGAACCCCTTATTTATACTAAGCCATAAGAATATTTTGAAGTTCCTCATGAAGACCTGATCTTAGAGTTTCCAGAAGAAAAAGAAAAAATCATGTGCCTGACAACTGATGAAATTCTTATTTTATTCTGAAGGTCAGTGTGAATGCAGGGAGTGGCTGTCAATACCCAGTGACACTAAAGGATCTGCTGACCAAAGCTGCAGGTGGGCTCACAGGATACATCAAGCTGCTTAAAAAGCTGCTTTAAACCCCTGGAACATGCAGATCCTGTGTTTTCCCCCCACGAATTCCTACAGACAGCCTGTGATCAACAGTTGTGTGATAATCTAGGGACAATTTCTAGTTTCAAACAAAATATTTTCTAATTGTTGTATATTAATCACTGTGCTCTCTCCAGCACCTTATCTCCTGTGACTGCTCTAAAAAGAAACGTAGAACTGTGAGTTGGACCAAGACTTCTCTTTATTTAAAACAGAGGTGAGCATTTGCATGACTACCTGGTAAAGGTAATGTGGGCTCCTTGTACTCTTCCCAGGTGATCTCAGTGATTGCAACACATGACTGCTGTGGAATCCAAAATGGTGCTAAGTTTCCATGCTCACAATCTCTTCAGATTGGGAGACAGTCTTCAAATAAACGATCTGTGAAAAAGCACAGTGATAAAGAAGTGCAAGGAAATCCGCATAAGGATCTCCTCTAAATGACACACACATAAAGCTGCCAAGACATTTGCCAGTACTGTGTGAATAAACACTGAAGCAGCACAGGTACAAGCTGAATGGAAGGAGAAATGGAGCTTTAAAGCTGGGAGACAGCATGGAAATGCCGCTCATCTGGTTATCAGGATTGTAAGAGGTCACAAAACTCTGCTATACAAATAGAATGTTACAGTGGTATGTGCCTTATTTCATAGAATAATAGAATAACAGAATCCCAGACTGGTTTGGGTTGGAATTGACCTTAAAGCTCATCCAGTTCCAACCCTCTGCCACGAGCAGGGACACCTTCCACTAGACCAGGTTGCTCCAAACCCCGTCCAGCCTGGCCTTGGACACCATCCCTGGCAGTGTTCAAGGCCAGGTTGGACGGGGCTTGGAGCAACCTGGTCTAGTGGAAGGTGTCCCTGTCCATGGCAGGGGGTTGGAACTGGATGAGCTTTAAGATCTCTTCCAACCCAAAACAGCTTGTGATTCCGTGACTCTCTAACAGGGAACAGAGGTTTGCCAGGGCCAGCCATTCCCACGGCCTTGCTTTCTGGCGCAGGGGCCAAGGCAGGTGATCTGTCAGGGCCTGGGGTAAAGCGGGGAAAGGATCATCCATGTTGTAGAGAGCAAGGCCTGTGGAGACACCACCTGGGGTGGGGGCAACACAGCCTTGCGGGGCGGGGGACGACGACGAGGTCCTGAGAGGGTTGATGCGGACTGTAGGGCCGGCACTGCCGGGGGAGGCGGGTGGCGACAAGGCCCTGCGGAGGGGCTTGCTCCCGGGGCAGCCCCGCCCACACCTACCTGTGTCCCGCCTCGGCCGGGCCGGGGCGAAGGGCGGCCGCAGCGGTGCCAGGGCTGTGTACACCGTTGCCATGGCAGCCACCTCTTCCGCCCGCTTCCGGAAGAGGGTTATGACGGAAGTGGGCGGGGTGGTGGCCGCGCTACGGCGGCCGGGCGTGGACAAGGCGCGGGGGAGGCGAAGCGAGGCGGGGAGTGGTGGTAGTGGTTGGGAAGATGCTGGAGACGGCGGCAGCAGCGGCGGCGGCGGCTGAGCCGGAGCTGGATCCCGAGGACCTGGTGCACTTCTCGGTGGGCGATCTGCCCAGCCGCGGTTATGGCGTGATGGGCGAGATCCGCCGGCAGGGCAAGCTCTGCGACGTGACCCTCAAGGTGCGGCCCGGCCCGGGGGCGCTGGGGGGGGTCCCAGGTCCCCGAGGGGTGCTTGAGGGGCCCTTTGCTGGGGAGAAGGAGGGAGCTGGGGTCCCCTCGGGTGCTTTGATGGGGGAGGTAAGAGGGGAGCTGAGGGCCCCCCCCAGCCACTCTGGGGGGGTATCAGGGGGTGTCTGGTCTCCCCAGCCCCAGGAGGGAACTCTTTGAGGGCCCCTTGGTGAGGGGTGTGCTGGGCAGCTCCAGCCCAGGGTGGGTGCAGGGGTGTGCTGGTGACACCCGGTCCCCGACGCTGCTCCTCATCCTAGGTACAGGGTGGGAGATGGAGCTTCTGTCTCCCTTGGGACCATCGTGGGGTTTTCTAGCAGCTAGGCAGAGTGATTCACTGAAGGGTCTTGTCTGGGGAGGAAACAGAGCACCCCAGCACCTCTGCCACAGTTTGGTGGGGGTACTGGTGCTGAAGGGAGGTCAGACGATGGGTTGGTGCGGATTCATGGACAAGCCTCTCCTCCAAACCTTGGGAGAAGAGCCTTTTTCCTCGGGAAACCTTTATCTTTATAGAACACCCACTTTCCTGCATCAAAGAAATTATATATAACAGGTAAATCCTCAGGGTTGTGTTTCTGGCACTGCGGGGGGGGAGCCTGAAAGGGCTTTGAGAGTGGCCAGTGCCGGGCAGGAGATGCTGGAGTCCTTCAGTCCAGGAGGAGTTTGTTGTGCAGTGGGTGTGCCTGTAGCTCCTTGGATTGCTTGAGTCATCCCAGAGTTGTTCCAGAATTAACTCTGAAGTTTAATTAAATGTGAAGGTGTTTCCCAGCCTACTCATGCTGAAACATCTCACCTACCTCCTGCTGCTGAAGAAGGAGCTGGCGAGGGTTGTGCCTGTCGTGGGGAATGTGGAATTTGGGTGAATCCCTGGGCTATATGAGGGTGCTTCATCCCCGTAGATCAACAATAGCCTCCCGGCTGAAATGCTTGTTGTGAAAAGCATGCCTGTATGCTGATCCTCCTTGGCAGGGGTCATACCATGTAAGACATGGTATTTCACAGAATCGTGGAATGGTTTGGATTGGAAGGGACATTCAAAGCTCATCCAGTTCCAACCCCCTGCCACAGGCAGGGACACCTTCCACTAGACCAGGTTGCTCCAAGCCCCTTCCAACCTGGCCTTGAACACCGCCAGGAATGGGGCAGCCACAGCTTCTCTGGGCAACCTGTGCCAGGGCCTCACCACCCTCACAGGGAAGAACTTCTTCCTCACATCTCATCTCTATCTCCCTCACCATTGTTCACAAAACTCTTCTGAAAAGGTTTCCGTTTCTGTAGATTTTCCACAGCCAAGCGCTTTTTAAATCCTGCTCATCTCCCTTTGTGTATCTTCTGGGGCAGAGTGGGAAAAGTTTTGAAGTCTTGAGGGCACCAGGAGCTATCCAGTGCAGCGGTCGGACTGAATGTGTTGATGGTGCTGCGCTGCTTCATGGGTGAGGGTGCTCTGTTGGCTCTGCTTTCTTTTTTTCCTTTTATTACATTATGTTCCAGAATCTATTTGCTATCTGGGGAGGGCACAGAGCATTTCACCCCTACAAAGGCTTAAAATATATTAAGAAGGATGTCTCTGTTGTTCTTGAAATGAGTCTTAACTTTCTCCACTACTTGCTTAATTCTTTATTATACTGAAGAGAGACCCTGGCAATGACTGGCACTTTTGGTAGAGGGCTGACAGCATGTTTCCCTGTTGGTTCCAACAGTCCTGCTTTCTGTTGTACACATGCAGCCTCAGTATTGATGGTTTGATTCCTTGTGTTGTATCGAGTCATCCTATCAAAATATCCCACTTCTTTGCCACTTCTGCCTCTTGACATCAGGTTTCTCCATCCCATGGCAATAGAATTAATGCAGCCTGATGAATCTGAGCCAGGCCTTCCCTTCTTGTTCAGTACATGGTGCCTCCTCTAGCTGCTGACTGGCTAAGAAGTAAATTTTCTTAGCTGGACCTTGGAGTTGGCTTTGAACTGGTGAACCACCTCAAATGCAGCTGACGCAAAGCGTGCTCATCCCTGACTTACATTGGTGAGGCTGTAAACCCAGCACGATGCAGAAGGACCCTGCCACGTGAGTTGTCACGCCGGGATGTCTTTCCAGTGCTTCTTGCCCAAAATGAAGGTAGGAAAAACACTGAGAAGCATTTAAAGACCGCATCCGAAGGAAACTGTGGTGGGTCCTGGTGCATCTCGCACTGCTGAAGTGAGTTTGTTGCCCTCTTTTCTTTTTTTAATCCTATTAATTTTAAGGCTTAGTGTGCCTAAAAGTGCTAGGATTCCTGGTCACAGCAGAATGCCTTCTGGTGTGACTTTAGGTCACATCAGGAAAAAAGCTACTAAGCACCACTTTGGGCCAGAAGCTGGATTCCCTCTGGTGTAATCAGCAGCTGAAATGGGAGCAAGCAGCTTTGTTGCAGCACAGTTCAGGTTTTTAGCAGCCTCTATACCAATATCACATGGGGTCAGTGGCTGTAAATGATTCTCCCAGCCCACAGAAATGTATAAACAGGCCACAAATTGCTATGAAGTGTTGTCACTCTTGTTTGTTTCAATTATTCCCCTCGTGAGGCCAGGCAAGAATTCATTTAGTAAATAGGAGGGTTGAAATTTGCTCCCCTTCCTCAGAAACCATCTTCCTGCCTGGCTCAGATTCAGCAGGAGACAGTGCTGCCTCAGCAGCGTATGGCAGCTGGGTTTAAATGCGATTAAAAGCAAGAAGTGCTCCCTTGGAGGTCCGATTATCCAAACTCAGCTTAGGGAAATCTGTTGCTGCTTCTCATGATTGCCCATGTGAAAATGAAGATCTAACAGGGCAGTAAGCAAGGTGTTCATCTTTCCAGCGGCTTAGGATGTGTCCATTGAGAGCCAAAGCTCTTCCATGCATGGATATTTGAGCCTAGAGATTTTAAAAGTCCTTTTCTGTTCCTGTCTCTTAAATATCTATGGGTCAGAGCTTTTGAAGATATTCCATTGCAGGCATCTGTCCTTTCAATCATCCTTCATTTGCCCTCTGAAATATTTAGTTAAATACTAATTTGAGGATGGTTTGATAGAAACACATGTGGATAAACTGGAGGCAGGAGGAAAGCAAGGAGACACACCTTATTCTGTGGTTAGTTCATTTTTCCTTGGTAAGAGTAGGATTTTTGCTTACTAAAGCCAAATTTCTGCTACTGCTCTCTTCTTTAAGGATCGGTAGATTGTGTGTTGGTGACGTCTTGTCTGGTAAAAGAAGGACATGTAGGAAGGGATAGGACAAGGGGAAATGGCTTTAAACTGACAGAGGGGAGATTGAGATGAGATGTGAGGAAGAAGCTCTTCCCTGTGAGGGTGGTGAGGCCCTTGCACAGGTTGCCCAAAGAAGCTGTGGCTGCCCCATCCCTGGCAGTGTTCAAGGCCAGGTTGGACAGGGTTTGGAGCAACCTGGTCTAGTGGAAGGTGTCCCTGCCCATGGCAGGGGGTTGGAACTGGATGAGCTTTAAGGTCCCTTCCAACCCAAATCATTCCATGATTCTATGAAATCAGGACATCCCATGAAACCAGCACAGAAGCAGCCATTCTCCATGCAGCTTTCCATACCCTACATCTGGGGACAAACTGGGGTTTCCAGTGATGCACTGAAGTTTCAGTTATCCACATCTCTTGGGCTTGAAATAGTCTGTGAGGGGCAAAGTCTATATACGTGCTAGGGATGGGTTCAAATTTAACCTGCTGTAGTGAGATCTCTGGGTGTCACCTACTATGGGCCGGATGTTATTGCAGTTTTTGACAGCTGAACTTAGTGAGGTTTGATTTCTGTATCCACCTGGTTTACCCCAGAAGCTGGATATAAAGCATTTTCTTTCAGGCTGTCTTCATGTGAGGAGACTTTTGGGTTGTTTTTTGGCTCTCATGCTCCTCTCCAGTTACCACTCCGCTCTTCCCCAGAGCTCTTTCTTCCCAAGTGCATTTCACCCTTATCATTGCTTTCTGGCGAAACCTAGGAGCCTTTACTTATTTCTGCTATCCCCACTGCTGTTGATTTTACTGTATTGATAGAAATTAATTAGCTTCTTGTTAAGCTCACTGGATGGGAAAAGCTCTGCACTAAAGGTTTGGGTCCTAATTGCTTTGTTTTCCTATACACAGTAGCACAGCAGAACCTTTCCTGCTTATTTTACAGTGGATTTGCAGTCATTTTTTCTGTGTGTGTGTTCTCAAAGGAGTTTAGAGCTAACAAATAAATGCTGCAAAAGGGCAAAGAGTTTCAGTTCCATGATGAGTACAGGTATTTGGGGGTGTTATTCCCTGGAGATCCTAGTCTGCTTTTTAATTGCAGAGAAGCAGCTACTTGGTATTTGTCTTCCTGAGCATTGTTTTTTGAAGACAAATATCCTCTCAAGATGAAAGCTGCTTGGGCAGCTTTGTTTTCTGGAGCTTGCGTGGCTGCTTTAGGCCAAGGTACAAGTGCTCTCTAGGGACATATCAGCAGCTTGCTGGAAGCCTGTGGACTGCACCACTCCATAAAACAGGGAAGCGATACTTATCCTGTTTCTTCATTGACAAATTTGGGAGAGCAAATATCTTTATAGCTCCTGCTTGCTTCCATCCGAGCCAGAAAACTGGGTGCCATGCTCGCACCTTCAGTCTTGGCTAAACCTGTGTCCAGCAAGAGAACGTTTGTGCCTTTCTGACTCCTCAAAGAGTGAAGTTAACGTGAGCTCCTCT